TTTTTTTTTTTTTTTTTTTTTGGAGGGGCCGCCCCCAGGAGCCGCGGGTGGGGGGGGGGGGGGGGGCATACAAGTCTGAAAATAAATAAATAAATAAAAAATATTCTCCCTCAGTAAAAATCCTTAACTGATAAATAACATGCTCTCTGTAAGAGAAGTAAGAAGAGATTACTTAAAATTTATTTCCTTGCTAGTTCTACCTGGTATCGATCTAGCTATCCATCTAACTAATCTAACTGTTTTAATACAATTAAGAAACCACACAACTCTGGGTGTCTGACTATAAAAAAACAGATCGGAAGTGTTCAGAAGCAAACTGTCTACAACAAACAAAACATCCTACAGGACCTTGGCACTCACCCTGCCTGTCCCAAAGCCTGCGAGAACAGCCACATTTTCAATGACTTTCTAAACAGGGTAGGAGCCATACAGATCTCTGGGGGGGCATGCTGTTCCAGTTTTAAAACCTAAATTGTTAGCCACAGGTGTTTTTTGGGGGGGAGGTTAAGTCACTGTTGACTCCTGGTGACTGCCTGGACTAGTCCCTGCAGTTTTCTTGGCAAGGTTTTTTGGAAGTGGTTCGCCCTGGCCTTCTCCTCCTTCCTGGGGCTGAGAGAGAGGGACTGGCCCAGGGTCACCCAGCGGGCTTCGTGCCCAAGCCGGGACTAAAACTCAGGGTCTCCCGGTTTCTAGCCTAGTGCCTTTGACCACTACACCACATTGGCTCTTTCGCCAAAATTAAAGCAGTATTTATCACAGTGTATATTAATTAGCCGTTCAGCTTCCTCATGAAAAGGGGCTAGTAACGAAGCAAGCCTAAGAGAAAACACTAAGCAAGAGTTTCTGGTAATCTCCCTGCATAATGAGATAACACCATGAAAAGTTTATTGATTTAGAAAATGTATACAGCTGCCCATCCTAAGTACGTAACTGTAGGTGGTGAACGATACATACAGAAAGAATATTAAAAGAACTCTAACCCATTGAACTAATACAGTACAAGGGAAAACAAAAAAATAATGGGGCATTGCAAAATAGTTCCATAAGATACATATGCGCATGCAGATTGGGCTTCCTTAACATCGTGGCCCTAATGCTGGAGGGGGCAGGGGAGCTAGGTTTTGACAGCCTTCCAGAAGACAAAGAGGTCAAGCGAAGAGCTGAGGATTTCTATAGAAATGTCTTTTCCCACCACTGAATTGCAACCTGCCTCTTTTTAGACTTTTTTTTTTACAAAAGAGGGCGCTCCTATTCTCTTTTTCAGCTCTTTACTATATGGATCAAAAGATGGATGCGTTCTTGCTCTGACGTCCCCTGTTGAAATCTCTCTTTTGCTCTGGTCTTTGTAGGCAATGGATTCAAACCCCCAAGTCCCTCTCCTTCATCCCTTCCTCCCGAAGGAGAGGAAATAGAGCAAACGTGTGGGAAAGAGGTGCGTGTTCTGTTCTGTTCACTGTGTGTAAAGTTGATATTTTATAGACATCAGAACAATTGTTTAGAGCAATGTTTCTCAACCTTGGCAACTCTAAGATGTGTGGACTTCAACTCCCAGAATTCCCCAGCCCCCCCCCCCGGAGCGCCGGTCTTTGGGGGTTTAGCGGTCAACCCCTACTCCCCCCCATGTTGTGCAAAACATGGTGAAAGAGT